CGGTTTCCGCAGTCCACGTTGTAAGGGTAATCGCAGAAGCCAGCTGGACTGGGAAGAAGACAGTTGACAGATTCAAGGCATTGTCTCGGTATTCATAATGGGAGACTGAGGAAAACGCACGTGATGCTAGGAGCCAGCGCCTTCCAGGAAGGTTAAAGTGGGCTTGCCCCATTTTTCGTAACACGCGATGGCTAATAAGAATAATAGCCGAATGATTTTCGTTCATGACACTGCAAGTGGGTGAAAGTGGGTTGCTGTTTGCAAGGAAAAGAAGATAAATGCATACGTCAAGCAAGCATCGAACATTACTTACACCAAAAGCTCCCATATATCGTTTTAGAAAGGCAGCGAGAAATCGAACAGTTTTATGTCTCGAGAGATCGCAATTTATCTTATCCATATTCTTTCCTTGCTCTTCACCACCGAGTGGAACATTTTCTCTTTGCTGTTGCGTTAGTTTTATCGAGCGCCGTGTTCAATCCCACCTCCTTCGTTAGATCGCGTTCAACACTCAGCTTCTGACGGCACAGCGTGAACGTATGCAATCGGACAATCTTCAAATACCGCTCTGTACCCACAAGATTACTCGTTCTAATTCTACGTCTGCGTACCTGAAACTACGAGGCGCGTCCACAAAGTAAGTTTCCCTGGGGCCGTTTACAGAAACAAAACACAATTTCATGGAAATATTTATTGCAACAGATACAGCAAGTGTCCAGCTATTTTTCAACATATTCGCCACCGGAATTGAGACATTGGTCATACCGTGGGACCAACTTTTGAATACCTGGGTCGTAGAAGTCTGCCGCCTGGGATTGGAACCACGGTGTGACACCCATCTCCGCCTCTCTGTCATTCTCAAAACGCTGACGCTGACCGGACAGGAATTTCTTGAGGGGTAGGAAAAGATGGAAATCACTGGGAGCGAGGTCCGGGCTGGAGGGTGGATGATTAAACACCTCCCAGCTGAACTCCGGCAGGAGACTTGCTGTCCGTCGAGCCGGGTGCGGCCTAGCGTTATCACTGACCGCACTTCACAGTCGGCGGGAGCTGGAATAAGAACCTCCATCTTCAACAGCTGCAACGATGCTACTGTAAGAACGCGGGAAGTACCGTTAGTGCATGCGCCATGCTACGTCATTGCTCTATCACGTACGCACAGCCGCTTCGCGCAATATAAGGTTTGCTAGCTGTGAGACGAGTGGGAAACTTACTTTGTGGACGCGCCTCGTAAGTTGTCCAGACACATGTAGTTGTGGTTGGCACTGTGAAATAAGAAGGAATGAGACAGTGAAAGAATAATATTGGGCTCTCGCTGTATCATGGAAGAACAGTTTGTTAAAATGCGAGCTAGACTTATCTGGCGATAATTTCGACCAAGCATTCTTCGACGTCGATCAGGCGCTGTGGCAATCTTAAGAGTGGCCGGAGGATCAGAACTTCTGGGCCTCAAGAATCTTTCCTGGCGTAGATGTTTGATATTACAGTTACCAGTACACGTTTCATCAAAACTTTGACCAAAGTTTTCCAGTGGTTTCGAAGGGTCACCTCAGACATTACCCGGCAAGGATCCGGCTTACATAAGGAGACGCGGAACCAGAGTCATATCGTATCAAAGATGATTGAGGCGACAGACCCCGAGGGTCTGAAAGCTCTGAAGCTCTGGTCACTCCAAGAGATAATAAATACGAACAAAGAAACTTCGTCCGATTTGGGGCCTACTTGAGAATGTTTATCGCTGAGTTGTTGTAAGGCTAATCAAGGAACGGAGGACAGGTGGGTTGGGTACGTAGCACAGTAACACTGATAGTCCAGAACAACACGTACGTGTAATCTTGAACTCGTCCCTTCTTGCACTGAGCGATAATTCCTTGTTTTCACGCGGTGCTAATCTTGACAGCGACAGGACAAGCGAGGACATCGAACACGATAACGCGGAGTGATTGAAATTAATACAGCCAGGATTGCCTCTACGGGTCCCACCTTTTCGTTAGCTTGATCTATGGACATTCGGTACGACTCCTTGGACGAGTGATCGGCCCGTCGCAAGGCCTCTACCTGTACACAGGACA